GTGGGTATAATGATAATGTAACTGGACTGGTAATCCAGAGCCCCAAACTAATCCCACCATGGCAGGTGGTGACATTTGCATTTTAAAGATGCTACTCTAATGGTGACTATATAACTTTTGTCAATTATTGTTTAACAACAGAAGGAAATCTGCCGTCTTCCCCTTATTCTGAGATTACATTCTCTGATCCTATACTCTTCAACAAGGGAAAACAACCTTTCCACATCTACCTTGTCAAATCCCCTCAGAAGATTGCCTTTCACTCTTCCAAACTCCAATGAGTACAGGTCCAATCCACTCAACCTGTCCTCAGAACGCAATTCTTCCGTATCTGGAACAAAAACTGAAGTTGCTGGAAAAGCTCAGCAGGTCTGGCAGCATATGAAGAAAAAAATCAAAGTTAACATTTTGGGTCCGGTGACCCTTCCTTAGAACTGAGTTTTTTTCTTCACATGCTGCCAGACCTCCTGAGCTTTTCCAGCATCTTTGTTTTTGTTCCTGATTTCCAGCATCTGCAGTTCTTTCAGTTTTCTTCCATATCTGGTGACAGCCTAGTGAACTATCTGTGGACTGCTTCCAAAGATTGTATATCTTTCCTTTGTTTAGGGTCCCAAAGCTGTTCACAGTACCCCAGCTGTGGTCTAACTAGTGCCTTGTGCAATTTTAGCAAAACCAAACTAGGGGAGACAGTGGCCCAGTGTTATTATCACCGGACTGTTAATCCAGAGACCCAAGTAATGTTCTGGGGACCTGTGTTCAAATCCTGCCATGGCAGCTGATGGAATTTGAATTCAATAAATATCTGGAATTAAGAGTCTAATGGTGACCATGAATCCATTGGAGGTTGTCGGAAAACCCATCTGGTTCACTAATGTCCTTTAGGGAAGGAAACTGCCATCCTTACCTGGTCTGGCCTACATGAGATTCCAGACCCACAGCAATGTGGTTGACTCATAACTGCCCTCTGGGTAATTAGGGATGGGCAATAAATGCTGCCTGGTCAGTGACACCCTCATCCCGTGAATGAATTTAAAAACTTTTATTCTACCTTCCCTTTGAAATGGTAGAGAATTCCAAAGGTTCAGCACCCTTGGAGTGAAGAAGTTCCTCCTCATCTTGGGTGGCATGGTGGCTCAGTGGTTAGCACTGCTACCTCACAGTATCAGGGACCGGGGTTCGATTCCATCCTCGGGCAACTGTCTGTGTGGAGTTTGCGCATTCTCCCCGTGTCTGTGTGGGTTTCCTCCGGGTGCTCCGGTTTCCTCCCACAGTCCAAAGATGTGCAGATTAGGTGGACTGGCCATGGGAACTGCAGGGTTATAGAGATAGGGTAGGGAGTTGAGTCTGGGTGGGCTGCTCTTCAGAGAGTCGGTGTGGACTTGTTGGACCGAATGACCTGTTTCCACATGTAAGGATTCTATGATCTCAGGTCTAAATGGTCTGCCCCTTACGCAGACAGTGTCCCCTGATTATAGATCCACAACTTAGCAACCTTTCTGCATCTAAATTGTTGAGCCCTGTAAGAATTTTCTTTATTTGAATGAGATCACCTCACATTCTCCTAAGCTCCAGGCCCAGTTAATTTAATCTTTCCCTCCATCCCAAGAATTAGTTGCTGAAGCATTGTTGCACTCCCTATTGGGCTGATGTAATCTTTCCATAGGTAAGCAACATTTTGCTAGCCATCTCCACTGGGTCGATGTCATGTTGATCTCATAACGCACCTGTGGAGTGCCGTCAGATGTTTTTCAAGATTAAGGACGCTACAGAAATGCAAGTAATGATTGCAGGGCTTGAAGGTTTCTCTGGGGAGATGCTGTTCTTTGCTTTGTAACAGTTAGCGTTTCCAGTCATCCATTGGGAGAAATGTCATACAAACCGTTTAAGTTGATGCATGAGTGTATTTATGATAAAATATTTATCGCAGCTCTAAGGATAACAAAATCATTTTTCAAATGTAGTGAAATCCAAGTCTCAAAGTGAATGCCTGCATCAACCAATCATTGCAACCACTGCCAGATTATTCAGAGAAGTGAACACACTTATGATTTTTGATTTAGTGCTGTGATTTTTTTTCAGGCAATTTCTGGACACTTTGATATTTCATTCGAGAAGAATTGCAGCAATAAGGTGAGGACCCTGGCTTGGCAGAGTGCAACTATAATAATCTGATGTTTGTCAACTTAGTTGTCAAGAGCTGATTCCCTAACAAGATGCGCTTTCATGGAGTCTTGCTGTGCAGAGTGATAATTGGCCCACATTGATTGATTGATTGATTTATTGTCACGTGTACCAAAATGCAGTGAAAAGCTTTGTTTACGATTGGTACAGGCAGATCATAGTAAGCAAAGGACGTACAGATCAAAAAGACTTACACAGAGGCATACAGGTTACATTACACAAGGCGTGCATGAGGCAAGGTCAACGTTAGCAAGATCAGCTTTATTTGGGGCTAGAGATTCCACTCATCAGTCCCATAACAGCCGGGAAGAAGCTGTTTCTGAACCTGATGGTGCATGTGTTCAGGCTTCTGTATCTTTTGCCTGACGGAAGAGGTTGTAGGAGGTCATTACCAGGGTGCAATGCGTCTTTGATGATGTTGGCCGCCTTTCCGCGGCAGCCAGCCAAACAGTTTTACTCCCCAACTCTTTCCCCACATTCCCATCTCTGATCCCTTTTCAGTGCCCTATACAGTCACCCTTTGAAAGTCACTATTGGATTTGCCTGAACCATCATTAGCTTCATCATTAACCTGCATAGGGAAAATACCTCCGTGTCTGCTCGCTGGTTCACAGCAAATCTGTGGCATAAAAGGAGGCAGTTCTGTCCATTGTGTCTGTGCTAGCCGAATTATTAGCTGGTTGTTTTTGACCAGTGCAGACACAATGGGCTGAAGGGTCTTTTGTTTTGCTGTAAACCCAATGAGTCAGCCTTGTCTTAGTTTCAAGCTGGTTGTCCCAAGCCCTGGTTGTTGTTCATTTGTTAAATGTGATGAGAGTTTCTGTCTCTGCTGCCCTTCCAGGCAGTGAATTGTGGACCTTCATCAATCTGAGGGTGAAAACATTCCTTCTTAATGAGAAGCACAGACAGAAACCACACACCCTGGTTTTGCTCATGCCACGGGTTCCTGACCAAGCCCCTGACCTGGACCTTACCCCATCCCAGGCTCTGTGCCCACTCCCCTGGTCCAGGCACTGCACCTCATCCCCACCCCTCTCTATCAGTCCAGAGACTGCACCCCATCCCCATCCCCTATCCCAGGCCCTGCACTCAGTCCCCTCCCCCAACTCAGATACTGCAATGCCCCCAACCCTAAGTATAGCAGCCCCAGTGCCAACCTGAGCTCCACCCACCTCCCTGAGAGTCCTGATTTTTGGGTCCTGATGTTCCCCTACATACTAACCTTTTGGTGAGTATCTCCAGCAATTTCTGTTCTTGTTTCTGATTTTCAGCATCTGCAATTGGTTTTGTTTTTTTTAACTAACCTTTAGTGATTCATGCACAAGCATTCCCAGATGTCCAGACTCTGCACCTCTCACCATTTAGACCGTTTGTTTCTTTTCTATTCTTCCTGTCAAAATGGACAACTTCATGATTTTCCACATTATGCTCCATTTGCCAAATCTTTGCACACTCACAAACTATCAACATAATTTTGAGCACTGATGAAGAGTCATCTAGACTCGAAACGTTAGCTTGCTTTCTCTCCATAGATGCTGCCTGACCTGTTGCGATCTCTAGCAGTTTTTGTTTTCAGTACAGATTCCAGCATCTGCAGTAATGTGCTTCTGTAACATATTTTTGTACCCTCCTTTTGTCCTCTTCACAACTTGCTTTCCTGCCTATATTTGTGATATCAGAAAATTTGGCAACCACACTTTCTGTCCCTTCATCTAAGTCATTTATAAACTGTTGAGTTTCTTGCACTGAGCACCAAAGTACACCACTCATTGCATCTTGATAATGCTAAAAAAGACCCATTTACACCTACTCTCTGCTTCCTGCTAGCCAGTAAATCTGTACATGAGAATATCCTCTATAGCGTGAACATTCATTTTCCGAGATAGCCTTGCACGTTGCACTTTAACAAATGCCTTCTGAAAGTCTAAGTTGAGGACCACAATTGGTTTCCCTTTATCCACTGCACATAGTATCTCCTCAAAGCACTCCAACAAACTGGTCAAACATAATTTTCCCTTCACAAAACCAAAGAATTGCCCAGAAGGAGAAACAACCTTTCCACACCTACCTTTGTCAAGTCCACCAAGAAACCTGTATATTTCAATAAGGTCACCCCTGTCAAATGAAGCAGAGACATCAGTCTTTGAGGTTAATTCTTTGCTGAACTTTCAACAGTAGCAAAACAGTGAGGCAGTCCTGGAAATACTCTGTCCTCCTAGCTCAGATATAAACTTTTAAAATGAGCAGACCTGCTTGTTGTAGTAAACAGTTTGTGATTTTGTTTTATTATGAGGCACTATTTCCTATGGAGCCGGTACATTGCAAACATTACTGTTCACTGGGTACTTCTGAACTCTCCCTTTCAGGTCATGTTCTCCACTGGCCCAAGAAGCACCGAAACACACTGGAAGCAAACTGTTTTTCTCCTTGAGCAGCCAGTCTCAGTGAGAAAAGGTAATTGACGTTTACCGCATGTTTCCAAATACGGAGCTGAGGCATTCATAATGTGCTTGGGTTTGGTGTTGTCATGGTTTATTTTCACACAGGATGTGGCAAGGTGAATTTTTCTCGTTTGTCCCTAATTCTCCTTGAACTGAGGGAATTTAAGAGTTATTCACATTGCTGTGAGTTAGGAGTTACATGGAGGCCAGACCAGGTAAGAATGGCAGGTAACTTTCCCTAAAAGGCATTAGTGACCTAGATGGGTTTTTATGATAATTGTAGCATGGTCGTCATTGGGCTACACATTTTTCTAATGCCATATTTTACAAATTCAAATTTCATCAGCTGCTAAGGCTTTAAACACACATCACCAGAGCATTAGCCTAGGGCTGTACATTACCACCACCCCAGTGATATTACCACTACATGATAAAGCCTCCTAGCTTTTTGGCTAAGATCAGACGCAGTGTTGTGATGGATAACATCAGGAGGCACAGTGTCTTGAGTTTTTCTCTAATAATCGCTATGACTTGCTTTTAAGAATCAGCTTTATATGAATTTGATGGGCTGGCTGGCACACACACTGGATACTTTTCAGTATGAATGGCAGCAATGTGAATGATGGCAGAAGTGCCAGCAGAATGATGAGCCATGACCATTCGGCATGTATTCAAAGATTAACCTGGGTCGCTGCCAGTTGAAAGATTTAGCCAGCTGCCCTCCACTTTGAGTTTTACCTTGAGAAATCTCTGTATTGCATCAAAAGAATTAAATAGACAGATATGAACAGACCACATTCCCTCTGGTTAAGACTCAAAGCTGAAGGGTAGTGACGCTGTCCTTTTCAACCTCATCAAATGCAACGTCTTAAAGAAACTGTGACTGAAGTTCGGCAAATTCCATCTGTCTGAATTGAGCTTTAAAGCAGACTAACATTCTGACTATTAACGTGAATAAGCCCAATATCTCTCGAATGAAATGAACAAAACTAAACTTATTTTTACATTTTTTGTGCCATCATTGATGTTTCTGTTTTATCAATATATGCTGCTTATGCTTGATGAGTAAAGTTGTATTTCGTGTTAGACCAAGAAGATATACAAATCTATCAGGGATCTGTAATGTAAAAATAGGTCAAGACTTTGTCTAGCCATCCCTCTTTCATAACTTTATTCCCAATCTTGAGAAAAGTTACTGTAGCAACAAAGGTTTACCAGATTGATTCCTGGGATGGCGGGATTGACAAAGGAAGAGAAACAGAATTGGTTAGAGCTATATTCACTAGAGTTTAGAAGAATATGGGGAACTCATAGGAACACTTAAAATTCTCACAGGACATGACCGGGTAGATGCAGGTGACAGCAGAGTCCAGAACCAAGGGTCACAGTTTAAAGATATGGGGTAGGCTATTTCGCACGGGAAAAACAGAAATTTCTTCACTCAGAGAATGGTGGGCATGTGGAATTCTCTGCCACAGAATGTGGTTAAGGCCAAAACATTGGATGTTTTCAAGAAGGAGGTAGACATAGTTCTTGGGGCTGAAGGGATCATAAGGTCTGGGGAGATTGAGGGAGCAGAGCACTGAGTTGGATGACCATCCAGAAATATATTGCATGGACGATCAAGCTGGAAGTGCTGAATGGCCTACTCTCCTACTTTCTTTGTTAAATAAGATGATAGAGAACTTCTTGGTAAGGGGATCTTCCCCTTTTGATTATGACAGTGTTGGCCCTCTTTCACTCCTACCTTCTCACTCAAATACTTGTAAATCACTTGCATGTGTTAGCTTCCCATTCACTTCCTTCCATTTTCAGTGCAGCCAAAAAGCAATAATTTTCTCTGTTGACATTTTGTCTATTTTGAGCTTTCAAGCTTGAAAATGCTTCGATATTGATGCATTAATCAAGCTTAGGTGTTTGTGTTTTATAAAATCATGAGGGTCGTAGATAGAAGTGATATAGTTGTCTTTTCCCTAGGATGGGGGATTTCAAGACTAGGGGGCACATTTTTAAGGTGAGAGGAGAGAGATTTTAAAAAGACACGAGGGGCAAATTTTTACACAGGGTGGTTCACGTGTGGAATGAACTTCCTGAGGAAGTGGTGGATGTGTGGATACAATTATAATGTTTAAAAGACATTTGGGTAAGTACATAAGTAGGAAAGGTTTGGAAGGATATGGGCCAGGAGCAGGAAGGTGGGACTACTTTAGTTTGGGATTATATTCAGCATGGACTGGTTGGACCAAAGAGTCTGTTTCTGTGCCGTATGACTATGTTAAGGGAAAATTTGATTTGTGCCAAGCCTGGTGACAGATACAGGAGGTCCTTTCTCTGGCAGAGACCTGTAAATGCTTTGTAACTCATCGATAACAACAGTTCAAAGGAGAGTTGAAGAGAAAGAATGTCAAGTGTCAGCACATGTACTGAGACGAGATTAATTGCTGCTTTCATGCCAGAAAACCTGTCTCTAATAATTCATTTAGTAGATTGCCAATCAACCCACTTATTTTGCTTGAATGTCAGAAATTATTTAATATTATTGAACATTTTTAAACAATGTTTTAAAGAAACGAACAGTAGCTGCAAATGTTACTTGTTTATTGACGCTGAAGAACAAGCCTTTTAATGACAAGCACAATGTTTTGTGATATACAGAGGATAGTCCTTTACTGTATTGGAGTTCAGGCTTGTTGGTGACATAAGTCTGAAGTTACACAATGCTGCACTTTGAAGCACATTGTCACGAGCCAGAAATGTGAATTAACAGAACCACGGACAGTTTTGAACAGAACAAATTGGAGCAAAATTTGCAATTCACCATCACCTTCTCCAGGGCAGTTGGGGATGGGTAACAAATGCTGGTCTTGCCTTCATTGTTCACATCCCGTTTACAAATAAGATAAATAATAAAACAGTTTCCTTCTCATATCCAGAAGTCAAATACTTGCGCGACTGTGGTAATCATGTTATCAATGTTTTTCTTCTCTCTGAATGGAATTATTTGTTTGAACACTGCAGTATGTTGACTAAATAGTGCAATGTTTATCAGTTTTATTTGAAAAGGTTTTGTCTGAGAAGCAGTGAAACAAAATATGGAATAAACTCTGAATCACACTGGAATTGGATTAGTTCCATGAACTGAATCATTTTTAACCAGTGAAAGGGCAAAAAATCCAAATCCAGATGTTTGCAAAACATAGTATTTTTACATGAATATTTAGTCAGGACTTGTTCATAAGGAGCTTATGACATGATCCTTTTCTTTAAATCCTTCAATAATTTTATTAGCACATAATTTTCAATAGTCGGGCTTCGAATTTCAAAGTGCATTTTCTGTAATATAATTGTAGAGCTAGCTTTAAAATTGTACATGTACACTGCAAGTAACCTTTTCCATTCTAAAGCACCAGCTTTGATCTGAAATTGTCTCTTGTGGCATTAGGCATTTAATTGAGATTTTACATCGTTCATTGGCTTTCTGCTTGTACGGTGTCTTGGGAAAATCCCTGCTTGCAGCAAGATCCCAAAAGCCCCTTGTTTAGTGATGCATGCGTAGCATTCTCTGCAACACCACCTTTCATCCATTGATGCTTCTTCAGAGTATTTTGCGTGAGGGTCTCTAACAGCCTGCGTCACTCAGGGAGCATGAGAGATGTTTCTTGCAGGCCTAGTGTGCAAATTTAACCAACCGCTGCTGACTTCTTCATGAATTTCAATTCTCTGTTAATCTGCATGCAGCAAAACGTACAGTGCATTGTACCTACAGCCAGAGGCATAAGATAGGAGTGGAATGACGCAGCTAAGCCCCAGCAAGACTCTGCACTCCTGCATATGAGAGCACCAGAGCTGCAAAAAAAAATCCCTCATATTACATCAAGATGACATTGACAAATTGCTCTACTTAGCCCTGATATAATGCAGGTCCTGTTAATTCTTGCTAGGAGGATACCTTCTAGAAATGTACCAGGCAGCCAAATCTAAGGAGCAAATGCTTGTGATTATGTCTTTATTGCCTGTATTTTTCCAGGAATTCATGTTGAAGTTCTTTGGAAAATAAATGTGCTATTCCCTCAGGCTGCTAACAGGCACACAGCTGCATTCTGAAAGGCGGGGTTTATATATTAATTAAACCTACTTATTGTACTTTAATGCTTAACCTGAACTGTAACTTTGACGTAAGTTATGATTTCCACCATTAACCAACCCCCATATCCCCAGACCTATGCTTTATTTGCAATTCCACATTGTCCTTCACATGTCATTGTCGGAATGGTTGACAAATGTTTGACACACTTGTTTATTCTTTAGGCTTGATGGACTAGGCGGTTTAGGTTTGACGTGTTTGAAAAAGATTTTGATGATTGCTGACTTGCTGTTGGTCAGTGTTATGGCAATCCAAATCAATTGTACGTTCATGCAGTGATTTCTGTGGGCTGTTGAGAAGCAAGTCCACACAGTAACACACTTTACTGCAGTAACATTGAGGCTGTGAATTTTCTCAGGTCAGGACTATTCTTAAAACAAGGCTGCATCAGCTGGGATTGTTGGCTATTTGCGGTCTGTCCAGCGTGAACTGCTGATCATCTCACTCGCTTCAAAAGTTATTATAACATTGAAGATGGGAGTAGGAGTGGGCCATTCGACCCCTTCGAGCCTGCTCTACCGTTCAATATGATCATGGCTGATCATCGAGCTCAATTCCCTAATCCCACCCTCCCTCCATATCCCTTTGGCCACAGAATGAAATCACTTGAGAGTACACAATGTTTTGGCCTCAAGTGCTTTTTGTGGCAGTGAATTCCACAGGCTCACCACTCTCTGGGTGAAGGAATTTCAACTCATCTCAGACCTAAAAGATTTAACCTTTACCCTTAAACTATGACCCCAGGTCCTGGACTCCTCCACCATCAGGAACATCCTTCCTGCATTAACCTGTCCAGTCCTGTTAGAATTTTATAGGTTTCTGTGATATTTACTACCCCCCCACCCCGCTACACCATTCTTCTAAACTTC